GGGGCCGAGACGCGAACCGCGGTTGACTACGTGGGAGTCCAGAGACATAGCCATTACACTAACTGCTGGTTCCCCCAAAGTATTTTCTAAACAAAATTATTCATGCTTATACACAAGGGAGAAAACAGGTAAAGATACACTGAATCAGTGATTCTCAACCATGGTATACATTGTGAAGTGTTTAATTTGTTACTAACGAAAATGTACAGGTGTTTCACGTAGCTGTATTATGATAATAATGCACATTATTTTGCATTGATTCAAGGTTACCATATTAATGAAATTATTCTTACTCTTTTGTATTATAATATACTGCCACCTGAGGACGAAAGGGCAGAAAGTACAAGCCTCACAGAAATGTGTGAAATCCAAATAAGACCTAGAAGAGTGAGTGCAGAAAAATGTCCACACAACAGCCTGAGACCACCTGCCTTAGAAGAGTCTGGTTGTGGGTGCACGTGCGTGCATGTGTGCCCAAAATCCCGAGAGGAAAATGGAGGAGATGGGATTGTGGCATGGCCATCCCCCTGCAGGGTGATTTCTCTCTCTCTGTCTCTGTCTATCTAGCAAGCACACGCACCCTATAGCAAAAATCTCTCTAAAAAACAAACAAATAACAACAAACAAAAGAAAAGTCTGGTCATAAGTTTGGCTTGTGGTTAATTTCTGGGAATTTGGATTTTAGGAGGTGTCCCACCTTCCCAGAAATGATAAGACTATCTCACTGTGCTAAACTATGTAAACAGTGTAGATTTTTATTTTTTTATTTTTTTTTAGAGAGAGATTTTTGCTATAGAGTGCATGTGCTCACTGGAAAATGAGAAATCACCCCTCAGTGGGGAATGGTCACACTGAAATCCCTTCTCCACTCTCCTCTTGGGATTTTGGGCATGCATGCACATGCGCCTGGCTTAAGTTTTAAGCCACCAGGTCTGGTACTCAAACTACGGTTGACTACATGAAAGTACAGTGACATAACCATTACGCCATCTTATCTGTAGTTTTTGATGAATTCTGCCTTCCTTCTGAGAGTCTGGAATTTTGGTACATGCTAAGCAGGTGTCCATGTGACCAGCACACCCTCTCTCTCAGTAGAAACCCTGGGTACTGAGTTACATGAGCTTCCTTAGCAGACAACATTTCACATGTGTGTTGCAATTTGTGCTGAGGGAAAGTCAGCGTGCCTGTGTGAGTCCCCTGGAGAAGACCGTGGGAAGGTTGCTCCTGGCTTTCTCTAGACTTCACCCATGTACCTTTCACCTTGGCTGAGTTTCCTTTGCATCCTTCTGCTGTAATAAATCACGGACATGAGCACTACTATGTACTGTGAGTCCTCCTGGTAAATTGTTGAACTTGGGGGTGAATTTAGGGACCCTGAGTCAGAGGGTGAGAGACAGACACTGCGTTCGCCATTAAATAATGACAGCGATGATCTCCACCACCACCTCCCATTTACCGCTAGCTACTGAATTCTGGGAACCATTGTGAGTACGTAACGTTGTACTAAATCCCAACCACAAATTCTACAAGGTAGACACTGTTAGGCCAGAGGCCTGGGCGGTTTGGATGTGGAAGGTTGAACGCCATGCCACAGTAGGCTGATCTAGTCTGTCATCAGAACTACGCTGCTCTCGGATCTAACCTGGATGTAACACATGCGCTCTACTCTGCACATGGCATCAGGCGTTAGTGGCACACTAGTTCGCTCTCCCACTAAACCTTTACCATCCATGGACTGGTTCTACCTCTAAGACACTCTCCCTCCTTATACCCTTATAAAAATCACTAAACCCCACCCTAGTGCATGACTTCTCTGGCCCATCTCCCTCCCTCTCTCTCCCTTTCTGTCGGACCAGTGAACCTCACCGGGTTGAACTCCCAATGAAGGCCCTACATTTCTATTTTCTTGCGTGGTCGGCCCATTACTTACAGGCACTATATCCCTAACTTGAGGAAGAAGAAATGGAAGCTTACATGTTTCAGAGCTTGTCCACATCAGACATGAGATTTGAACCTGTCTCTTTGATTCCAGAATCTTTGTTTTGAATTGACAGTGTATATTGCCTTTTTATAAAAATGCCAGTTTTGGCATAGGTTAAATTCTCACATTTAAATGAATCTTTTTTATACTCTTCATTCTGTTCTACCAAATTCCTTGTCTACCTCTGCATCAAGGCCTTCCTCAAGTGTTTGATAACATCAATCATGTTATCATTCTTCACAGGTCTATTTTTAAAGAGAACATCTTGATTTAGCACTCACATATTCATTCTTCCAGATAAATCTTAATTTTTCAATAACTCTCTTCAAAATATTGGAATTTTGATTGGAATTATATTTAATGTATAGATTAATTTTGATAACTTTATAAAACTCAGATTTTTCACTCAAGAATAAATGTGTCTATTTGTACAAATTTTTCACATCTTTCGGTAAAGTTTTACACTTTTATTTATAAGGAATTGTACATTTAAGTTCAATCTGGATGCTTTCTGAAATATATGTTTCATGGAATAAAAGTGCTTGAAAACTGCTATACCAAAAGTTAGAATTAAAAGTCCATTTGGAGGGACCAGCAGTTAGCGTAATGGCTATGTTGCTGGACTCCCATGTTGTCGACCGCTGTTTGTGTCCTGGACCCAGCGGCTTAAAACTCACGCCGGGCGCATGTGTGTGCGTGCCCAAGATCCCAAGAGGAGAATGGAGGAGAAGGGATTGCGGCATGACCATCCCCCCTGGGGGGTGATTTCTCGCTTTCTGTCTCTCTGTCTCTCTCTGTCTGGCGAGCACACGCGCCCTATAGCGAAAACCTCTTAAAAAAAAAAAAGTCCATTTGGAACCAGCAGGTGGCATAATGGTTAGACATAATGGCTATGTCACTGGACTCCCATGCAGTCAACTGCAGTTTGAGCCCTGGACCCAGCTTGAGACTCATGCCAGGCACGTGTGTGTGCGTGTCCAAAATCCTCAGGGGAGAATGGAGGAGGGGGGATTGTAGCATGGCATCCCCCTGGAGGTGGTTTATTGCTTTCTGTCTCTCTGGTGAGTGCACACTCCCTATGGCAAAAATATCTCTTAAAAAATTAAAGTCCACTGGACTGGGGACCAGTAGACAACATGATGGTTATGTTGCTGGACTCCCATGTAGATTACCATGATTCGAGTTCTGGACTCGGTGGCTTGAGACTCATGCCAGGTATATGTGCATACGTCCCCATGATCCTGAGAGGAGAATGGAGGAGTTGGGGCATGGCCACCCCACCCATGGGGGCAATTTCTCACTTTCTGTTTCTTTGTATCTTCAGTGAGCCCATGCTCCCTATAGCAAAAATCTCTCTAAAAAAAAAAAGTCCATGGATTAGGGACTTGCAGATGGCGTAATGGTTATGTTGCTGGACTCCCACATAGTTTACTGCAGTTTGAATCCCAGACTGGCGACTTGCAGCTCACACTGGGCACATATATGAGCATGCCCAAAGTCCTGACAAGAGAATGGAGGAGAAGGAATTGCAGTGTGTCCATCCTCCCGGGGATGGTGATGGTGGTGGTGACTTCTCGCTTTCTGTCTCTCTCACCAGCAAGTGCACATATCATGTAGCAAAATATAGCAAACCTCTCTCTAAAAAAACCAGTCCACTAGATTGAAAGTCATTATACTCGGATTTCAGTTTTAGAACACTCAGTATTACATAATTTGATA